AAGATGATTCATATGATCTTGAAGACCTTTCTGCACAGAAATGAGGGAAATACAAACAACCAAATATAGTTCTGAAATTCGGGATCTATATTTTGAGATGATTTTATTTTCAGAATGAGAAGTATATATGGTTACCGTTATGAATGTAGAGACATGAGAAGAGTCATGATGGCAAAAAACAAAGAGCCTCGTCCCCCATCCTATACTATCAGTGTAGTTGGACTCTCTGGGACTGAAAAAGACAAAGGTAACTGTGGAGTTGGAAAGTCTTGTTTGTGCAATCGATTTGTACGCTCAAAAGCAGATGAATATTATCCAGAGCATACTTCTGTGCTTAGCACCATTGACTTTGGAGGACGAGTGGTAAACAATGATCACTTTTTGTACTGGGGTGACATAACACAAAATGGTGAAGACGGAGTAGAATGCAGAATTCATGTCATTGAACAAACAGAGTTTATTGATGACCAGACTTTCTTGCCTCATCGGAGTACGAATTTACAACCATATATAAAACGTGCAGCTGCCTCTAAATTGCAGTCAGCAGAAAAACTAATGTACATTTGCACTGATCAACTGGGCTTGGAGCAAGACTTTGAACAGAAGCAAATGCCTGAAGGGAAGCTCAATGTAGATGGATTTTTATTATGCATTGATGTCAGTCAGGGATGCAATAGGAAGTTTGATGATCAACTTAAGTTTGTGAATAACCTTTTTGTCCAGCTATCAAAATCAAAAAAGCCTGTAATAATAGCAGCAACTAAATGTGATGAATGCGTGGACCATTATCTTAGAGAAGTTCAGGCATTTGCTTCAAATAAAAAGAACCTTCTTGTGGTGGAAACATCAGCACGATTTAATGTCAACATTGAAACATGTTTCACTGCACTGGTACAAATGTTGGATAAAACTCGTGGCAAGCCTAAAATTATTCCCTATCTGGATGCTTATAAAACACAGAGACAACTTGTTGTCACAGCAACAGATAAGTTTGAAAAACTTGTGCAGACTGTGAGAGATTATCATGCAACTTGGAAAACTGTTAGTAATAAATTAAAAAATCATCCTGATTATGAAGAATACACCAACTTAGAAGGAACAAGAAAGGCCAGGAATATGTTCTCAAAACACATAGAACAACTTAAACAGGAACATATAAGAAAAAGGAGAGAAGAATATATAAATACTTTACCAAGAGCTTTTAACACTCTTTTGCCAAATCTGGAAGAGATCGAACATTTGAATTGGTCAGAAGCTTTGAAGTTAATGGAAAAGAGAACAGAATTCCAGTTATGTTTTGTGGTGCTAGAAAAAAACACCTTGGGATAAAACTGACCATATAGACAAAATTAATGATTAATGATAGACGGATCCCATTTGACCTCCTGAGCACTTTAGAAGCTGCAAAAGTCTATCAGAACGATGTACAACATCTAACATCAGAGAAGAGGAGGGTAGAAATGAAGAAAAAATTCAAAAAGACGCTGGAAAAGATTCAGTTCATTTCACCTGGATAGCCATGGGAGGAGGTTATGTGCTTTGTTATGGAGGATGAAGCCTTCAAATATATTACTGAGACTGATAGCAAAGAAGTGTATGGTAGACATCAGTGAGAAATAGTGGGAAAAGCCAAAGAAGAATTTCAGGAAATGCTTTTTGAGCATTCTGAGCTTTTTTATGATTTAGATCTTAATGAAACACCTAGTTCAGATAAAATGAGTGAAACTCATACAGTTCTGAGTGAAGAACCTAGATATAAAGCTTTACAGAAACTTGCACTTGATAGAGAATCTCTTCTACTTAAGCACATAGGATTTGTTTATCATCCCACTAAAGAAACATGTCTTAGTGGCCAAAATTGTACAGACATTAAAGTGGAGCAGTTACTTGCCAGTAGCCTTTTACAGTTAGATCATGGGCGCTTACGGTTGTATCATGATAGTACCAGTATAGATAAAGTTAACCTTTTTATTTTAGGGAAGGATGGCCTTACCGAAGAACTGGCAAATGAGATAAGGACACAATCCACTGATGATGAGTATGCCTTAGATGGAAGAATTTATGAACTTGATCTTCGACCGGTTGATGCCAAATCGCCTTACTTTTTGAGTCAGTTATGGACTGCCACCTTTAAACCACACAGGTGCTTCTGTGTGTTTAATTCCATTGAGTCATTGAGTTTTATTGGAGAATTTATTGGAAAAATAAGAACTGAAGCTTCTCAGATAAGAAAAGATAAATACATGGCTAACCTTCCATTTACATTAATTCTGGCTAATCAGAGAGATTCTATTAGTAAGAATCTACCAATTCTCAGGCACCAAGGGCAGCAGTTGGCAAACAAGTTACAGTGTCCTTTTGTAGATGTACCTGCTGGTACATATCCTCGTAAGTTTAATGAAACCCAAATAAAGCAAGCTCTAAGAGGAGTATTGGAATCAGTTAAACACAATTTGGATGTGGTAAGCCCAGTTCCCACCAATAAGGATGTATCAGAAGCTGACTTGAGGATTGTCATGTGTGCCATGTGTGGTGATCCATTTAGTGTGGATCTTATTCTTTCACCCTTCCTTGATTCTCATTCTTGCAGTGCTGCTCAAGTTGGACAGAATAATTCACTAATGCTTGATAAAATCATTGGTGAAAAAAGAAGGCAGATACAGATCACAATATTATCATACCACTCTTCAATTGGAGTAAGAAAAGATGTACTGGTTCATGGGTATATATTAGTATACTCTGCCAAATGGAAAGCATCAATGGGAATGCTTCGAGCACTTCTATCAGAAGTTCAAAACAACATTCCTGTACAACTGGTGGCAGTTACAGACAGCCAAGCAGATTTTTTGAAAATGAGGCTATCAAGGAGTTAATGACTGAGGGGGAACACATTGCAACTGAGATCACTGCTAAATTTGCGGCATTGTATTCTTTATCTCAGTATCATCGGCAACTGAAGTCTTTACTCTTTTTTTTAGTGATGTTCTAGAGAAAAAAAATATGATAGAAAATTCCTATTTGTCTGATAATACAAGGGAATTAACCCATCAAAGTGAAGACGTTTTTCTACCATCTCCCAGAGACTGTTTTCCCTATAACAACTACCCTGATTCAGATGATGACACAGAAGCACCACCTCCTTATAGCCCAATTGGGGATGATGTACAGTTGCTTCCAACACCTAGTGACCATTCCAGATATAGGTTAGATTTGGAAGGAAATGAATATCCTATTCATAGTACCCCAAACTGTCATGACCATGAACATAACCATAAAATGCCTCCACCTATTAAACCTAAACCAGTTGTACCTAAGATGAATGTGAAAAAATTGGATCCAACCCTTTTAAAAACAATTGAAGATGGTATTGGTAAAAATCCAAGAAAACAGACTTCCCGGGTACCTTTGGCACATCTTGAAGATATGGATCCTTCAGATAACTACGCAGAACCCATTGATACAATTTTCAGAAACAGAAGGCCTATTCTGATGAGATTTATGTTGTCCCAGATGATAGTCAGAATCGCATTAAAATTCGAAACTCATTTGTAAATAACACACAAGGAGATGAAGAAAATGGATTTTCTGATAGAACCTCAAAAAGTCACGGGGAATGGAGGCCTTCAAAATACAAACATAAATCTAAAACCTTGTTTAGTAAAACCAAGTCTATTATAGAAGAACACATTCAGATGCAAGTGATGATGAGGCTTTTACCACTTCTAAAACAAAAAGAAAGGGAAGACATCGTGGAAGTGAAGAAGATCTACTTCTTTCTCCTGTTGAAACTTGGAAAGGTGGTATTGATAATCCTGCAATCACTTCCGACCAGGAGTTAGATGATAAGAAGATGAAGAAGAAAACCCACAAGGTGAAAGAAGATAAAAAGAAAAACTAAGAACTTCAATCCACCAACACGTAGAAATTGGGAAAGTAATTACTTTGGGATGCCTCTGCAGGATCTGGTTACAACTGAGAAGCCCATACCACTATTTGTTGAAAAATGTGTGGAATTTATTGAAGATACAGGGTTATGTACTGAAGGACTCTACCATGTTAGCGGGAAAAAAACTGATCAAGACAATATTCAAAAGCAGTTTGATCAAGATCATACTATCAATCTAGTGTCAATGGAAGTAACAGTAAATGGAAGTAACAGTAAATGGAAATAACAGTAAATGGAAGTAACAGTAAATGGAAGTAACAGTAAGATACAGGGTTATGTACTGAAGGACTCTACCATGTTAGCGGGAAAAAAACTGATCAAGACAATATTCAAAAGCAGTTTGATCAAGATCATACTATCAATCTAGTGTCAATGGAAGTAACAGTAAATGGAAGTAATAGTAAATGGAAGTAACAGTAAATGGAAGTAACAGTAAATGGAAGTAACAGTAAATTTCTTAACAATTTCTTTCCTGTAAACTATGATGTATTCAGATATGTGATAACACATCTAAACAGGGTTAGTCAGCAAAATAAAGTCAACTTAATGACAGCAGACAACTTATCCATCTGTTTTTGGCCAACCTTGATGAGACCTGATTTTGAAAATCGAGAGTTTCTGTCTACCACTAAGATTCATCAATCGGTTGTTGAAACATTCATTCAACAGTGTCAGTTTTTCTTTTACAATGGAGAAATTGTAGAAACCACGAACATTGTGGCTCCTCCACCACCTTCAAACCCAGGATAATTGGTGGAACCAATGGTACCACTTCAGTTACCACCACCATTGCAACCTCAACTGATACAACCACAATTACAAACGGATCCTCTTGGCATTATATGAGTAGGAAGTTATTGCAAACAGCCTGGATTTGGACAAAAAGAAAATCTAAACATACATGTTTCAGGGTTCAGTAGTATACTTCATATTTCATACAGATAATTCATTCAAAATGATGACATTTTTCTCTTTGAACTAGATGGTATTCCTTATTCACATACATTGCAAATCTAGGACCATGTGGTAAGCATGACTGGAGAGGTTTAATTTTTATAAACAAAAATAGCTATAAAATACAAAGCTGCTGCTGCGTGCAACCTTATTGCAATCAGTATATCATTCCTGTGGCAATTTCTGTCACATTATATTGTGAAGAAAATTTTTCTATAGAAATTAAATGATTTAAAAACTCACATATATGAAGCATTTAATACTTTTCAGCCTGCTTTATGGCTGGTTTGTTATTTGATGTGCTAATTTGGGCAACTTAATTTACATTCCAGCAGTCAATGTAGATAACTAAAAGCCCAGCTAATATTTTAGAATTTCGGGCTACTTATGCCATGCTTGGGATGTTGTTTGAAAGAAAGAAAAAATAAATACACTTGGCATATCACAGAATTCTGCACCTTCATCTTTACTTCCAAGTAAACCTGTGGATGATTTGATGAGGAGTAAATGAACCTATTTCTTTTACATACATAACAAGGACATACTTATGGCTAAGGTGAGTTGATACTGTTGTGCAAGGATATTGTCACTGACTCATTTCTTTATGGTCCATAATGAAATAAACATTTTGTATACTGTTAATTCTGTAAACAGATGCATGTTCAAAAGATCTATGATGGTCTTGTAATCTTAATCTAATATATTTTAGATATTTTATTTTTTTCCCTCTTGGGGAATACATTTAGTGTAGAAAATACTTCATGACATTTTCATATATGGTTATATAACTTTTCATACATAAACATGAAATTTGTTGTAGAAAATTCAGATCTAGGGCTTCAATATAATCTGTTCCTTGAATCTATTTTTATGTGGCCCTTAAAAAAAAATATCCAAAAATCCATTGCTAATACAGCAATAAAAATACTTTGGGTACTGACAGACTCTTTGGAGTGTATATATTACAAATTTGTATTCATATTCTTTTCTGTGATATGTTGTACTAAAATCCAAAATGGCTTTTGCATCATTTTTAAAGCTGATTTCTTTTCCTTTGATGTTGGTACCAGAGTTAATATAAGTGGCTGCTGCTTTTGGGGATAAACATTTTGTTAGTAAAGATACAACCAGAATACTAAATTATAGGTAACATTTTCAGAATAGGTGGCACAGGTAAATTTTGTTAGGCTTTATTCAAAATTAATTATCAGACTATGCCATTTTTTTCTGGAAAGAAGAAAAATGGCTTGTTTTTCATTGCTAGATTATATTTTGTGTGATGAAGATAAAAATTATTTGGTCAATGCTGTAATTTTCAGTCAGACTGCAATTTTAAGGTTATCTTATATGTGTTACAGTAAATAGATGATTTTGAGATTCAAGGCTCCTAAGAGTTTGATTTCCTCCTCTTTTTCCCCCTAAAATAAATATGTCTTTCCCAGCTGTTATGTCCTAGGTATTGTACTTCCAATTTTCACTTCAGAACCAAGATGTCAACATGAACCAGGCTGCTGTTGAAGTACATCTATACTATAAATTATCTTATTTGTGTTATACGCTTACATGTTATCTTTTCTAAGAAAACAAAGTCCCTATTATTCCTATTGCAAAGCACACAGGAATTAAGAAAGTACAGGAATTTTTAAAAAAAGAAATCCGGTAAACGTAGTATTCTTAACCTGTTCTATATTACTTATATCTCTTGTCTATATAGCTTTAATTTATAGCTGTCAGTTTAACATTGACATGTCTGGCAAAGAAAATTAAACTTTAAGAGTTTTATAAACTGTTAAAATATATATATAATAATAAATTTTTTTTAATGTAAAAGGAATAGGACACAGAAAAGCATTTCAATCGATAATGTCATAAACAAATGTTTTAAAAGTTAAAATATTGGAAGTGTGACATGGAATATTTAACACGTGTAGCCACAGCATCCCCATTTACCCTCAGGTATTTTTCTTTTAATCTCCTTGATTCCTTGGATTCAGGTGTTTTTCAGTTGTCAAAAGCATTGGCACACTCGGCCCCCGAATGCCCATCTCTGAAATGCCTTTCTTCCCTTCTCTGCATCCCTGGCACAGCTTGAGTCCACATCCTAACTGTCTCTCACTTGGATTATGGCTCTGGTTTCCTAAGTAGTCTCTCAAGGTCTGGTCTTGTCAGCAGCTCTCGTGCTATATGATCTTTCCAAGGGAAAAAACGATTTAACTCCCTTTCTTATATTCTTGTGATGTTTTCATATTATTTCAAGGGTATGATCCAAACCTAGCTTGGATGGTTGATAGCCTTCGTTGCCTGGACTTTGATTATGACCATCCTTCTCAGCATTTCACTATTCACTTCCCCTCAGGCTCCCTTCTCCAGTCATCCTGGTTTTCTTGGGCTTCTTGTCATTTTACTGAGGAATATCACTGCCTATGTTTTTGACTCTTCAATAACTTGTATCTAAGCAATTAAAAAAATCTCAGCAACTTAGAATGAATGGATGACCCAGACAGGGTTGTTTAGCAGAGAAGATACATGCTCATCTCCCACACTATATTTCTATAGTCTCTTATTACTACTTATATGTGTTTGCTCATTTTTTTCTCATCTCATTGTAAAATTCTCCAGTACTGCAAGGTCTGCATCTAATGGCTTTTTCTGTAATTACTATTGCCTAGTATGGTCCATAATACAGATACTGAATAAATATTGATAAATACTTATTCAGTAAGAAAAATTAATAATTATTTTCAGTGTTCAATTAAAAAATAAGATCTCAGAAATTTTAAAAAGACATAAAATATTCATATACAACTTTGAACATTTGTTAAAATTCATAAACTCCTAAAGAATTAAAATAATGTGAAGCTTTAACTTCATTATAAGCATAGATACACATCCAAAATTCATAACAACCCACATTAAAATAATAACAATAATAAATAAATAATAAACCCACATTAAAAATAATAACAATGAAAATATAGGGATGATGTCAAGTGAATAAGTATGCAAGCAGATTATAATTTATTAAAATTGTTTTTACCTGGCATAAATCAAATGCTATCAATAACTTTGGCAAAATGGTAAAAAAAATTGGAGTAAATATTGAAGTCGAAGATCAATTTAATTCATGAACAGCATATAAAACCCACGATACATCAAAGGTGAGAAATTCAGTGATTCTTTTTTATTTAACTAGTTTGAAGAAATATACATTATATTGATGTATCAGTTTTAAAAATTACTGATAAGTAGTAAGTTGTTTTGCATATTATCAAGAAGACTTATTCTTTAGTGCTTCTTATGGTGAAATAATTCATGTTTAATGCTTTCAGTGGAGAATTTTAGAAAAAATACTAAATTCTAGAATTAACAAGAAAAAAATACAGTGATGCAAAAGTCATAGAATTTAGGAAGAAAAGGTATATGAGAGTCAAAGGTTAACATATATAGACACCTGCAGCATGGTAAATGTTTTAGCAATCCAGGTAAAATAAATCAGAAAGTGCAGTAAAATTCAAAACACCAGAAGAGCACCCCACAGCAGTTGTGTGTGGGGGAGGGGAACACTCAGAAGAAAGTGCAAGCAAAGTGTCAAGTGACCTAATCTGCCTTTGATAGAATATAAGTTATAGATGCATTCTTAATTCCTTTTAGCATACTACACATACATGCTAATACTTTTCATCAGTCCGTATCTCCTATTGGTTTATAATTCAAGAAAAAGTCATATGTTAATGCTACAACATAGAATTTGAATTTATACTTCATTTTATTTATTTTTAAAGTATACATTAATTATGTAGGACTCAGATATTTTGTACACATGCTTTCATTAGAAAATGGTAAAAATATTTACTGCATTATGACAAATGCTTCCATAAATCTATATACTGTATTAATATTCAGAGATTAGGCTTTCTCATTCAAGCAATAGAAGAAGTTACAAATTTTAATGTAAATCACCCATCTATACACAGAATTTGAATGTTTATTTGTGTCAATGCTCAGGATAGAAATCATTCTTTGTATATAATGATGTACCTTTGTGAGACAAATAGGTATTATCCTGATGGAATATTTAAAATACTGCATTCCTTCCCCTAGATAATGACCTATAGTGCATTCCTTCCCCTCTGTCTCTGACACACACAAATATTGTGTTATAGTGTTGTTATAGAAAGCTCATGAGATAGGTAAGTCTTTAAGCAGCTTTTTGTAAAATATGTTATACATGTTACTTTGCATCTTTTACACTAAGTATGGTAGCACAGCATCCTTGAAATGTCACATATTGACTTTATTTGTAGGTTCTGAAAATGAGCTCTTTTTCCTTATAAACTATGACTAGATATAATTTATTAGGTACTGAGCCTACAGACAGGTTGTGACTAAGATAAATGAAATGACATGATAATTTCATGTCTTCATTGATACCTGTCTGTTATTGATTACACAACTTAATTGTATTACTTCACAAGCGAGGCTCTTCCTCTCTAGATTAGTTGTTTTAAAAATTTCAGTGTCTTAGACCCAATCACCTGGTGAAAACTCATAAAATAAAAAATACAGTGGCTTTTTTCTTTTTCTATTTTTAAGCTTGACTGAAAATAATGTTTATGTCAAATAGCAGTAAAGTGCATAGCTGCAGTGTTTTCTCTTTGGGCTTGCAAACGTTTCGTTATTTTCTTTACAGTGAGCCTCATAAGATTAGCAAAACAAATTGACAGATGATCAATGCTAGATCTATTGAAGACTACCTGTGCAAACAGACTAGCAGATCAGAGCCCCCTTGGTCACGCATGCCCTAATGATCATGTGACCATTTTAAAGCATGCCTGTGGTAAAACTTACTGTAAAAGTCACCTTGGAGTGAAATGCACTTAACATGAATTTCACATTAGCCTGTGAAAGATAGTTTTAAAATGTCTAAAGTGCATGATGAAGCAGCTATTCATAATGAGAAATATACTCTGAACATTGATTTTTTCACCTATATCATTTTAATTATTAGAGATTGTTAATCATTATAATTAATTTTTAGTTGAAGTCTTATTCCATCGCCCAGGCAGGAGTGCAGTGGCACGCATGCTTATGACCACCCTAGTGTCAACCTGCTGGGCTCCGGTGATCCTTCTGCCTCAGCCTTCCAAGTAGCCAGAACTACGGGTGCACACTACCATGCCTGACTAATTTTTTATTTATTGTAGAGATGAGGTTTTGTCAGGTTGCCCGGGATGGTCTCAAACCCTCAGACTCAGGCAATCCATTTGTCTCGGGCTCCAAAAGTGCTGGGACTACACGCTTAGCCACCAAGCCCAGCCAATCATAATAATTCTAAAACTAAGAAGCTAAAGATATGTTTGCATCCAGTGAGATAAAGATGCATATAATTATATATATTTATATATATAGACACACACGCATACACACTGTGTGTGTGTGTGTGTGTCTGTGTTTGTGTTTTCGTGTGTGTGTGTGTGTGTGTGTGTGCATTCTGGCTGCTGTTTGAACTTTTTAACTATCTAATCTTTTCATGCCTTTGTTATTCCAGTGTAAACAAACCATACTAGGTTTACAAATTCAATGTTACTTATTTTCAAAATAAAGACATACATTGGTTAATAACCCATTAACTTTAACAGACAAAAAAACATAGACAAAACAGGAATTCTAGATTTTAAGTATTCAGAATTTTTTTCTTTTTTGAGAAACATTTTCAATTATCAATTTATTATTATAAGCAATGTATGTTAAAATAAATTGCAAGTTTTAATACTTTATGTACAAAGACATTACAATGGAACCTCGAATCATTTCTTTTTATGAAGTTAGTCTTCTATTTTTATGATGTGCAAGACTCATCACTTACATTT